TGGACCCCATTGATGTGGTCCCCATAGTGTTCATATGGCAGCAATATTTCTGTTAGATATGACAGTGTTAGTTGGTAGTTATTTCAGCTTTATTATTAGTTATTTCTTATTCTATTTGCCATGTAAGCAATAAGGGTAATTCAGCCCTTTTACAGTTAGCCAATAGTTATATAAATACTAAGAGAGAGTCGGCAGAAATTATGACCTTCTCTCTCTCTTTTCTAAAACTCTCTTCATATACTTCTTCTCTTCCTCTCTTCTCTTCTTTTCTTCAATTTTCATCCTTTTTTTTTCTTTTTAATTCAAAACCGATTGTAGTCTAGATCGCCTGTTTTCTATTTTATTTAAAAAATAAAATAATATAATTAAAATTTACAATCCTATTAAAAAAGATTTTAATATATAGACGTATATGTACATATATACATATATACAATATATTAGCGGGGAAACCACGGGGTGGGGATTGGAGTCCCCACCGGGCAGGAAGTGCTCTCCCTGTCCCCACCACATCCCCACTAACGAGGATGAAAATTTTCCCATCCCCATCCCCACCCCATTCGGGGTGGACCCCCATGGGGATTGGGGAAATGGGGAAAATTGCCATCCCTATAAGTTCATGCCGAAGAGAATGAACTTTGGGGAGAAATGGAGAAACTGGATAAAAGTGTATTTATCTTCTTCCTCTTTCTTAGTTCTTGTGAATGGGAGTTCATGTGGGAGGTTTAGAAATTTTAGGGGCTTAAGACAAGGGGACCCACTATTTCCCCTCTTGTTTATTTGTGTGGCTGAAGCCCTCTATAGGATGGTAGAGAGAGCACGGATGGGAAGACTGTTAGAAGAATTTAAAGTAGGCAATGGAGAAGTTGAGATAACACTACTGCAATTTGCAGATGACACCCTTTTCTTCTGTGCAGTTTGGGAAAATTTTGGAAATTTTGGAATGTGAAGGCAATCTTGAGATCGTTTTAGGTGGTAACAGGTTTGCATATTAACACCCTGAAGAGTGAATTAATGGCTGCTGAGGAGGTGACAAATTTGGAAGAATGGGTAGATGATTGGGGCTGTAAAGTTGGTAAACTACCATCTAAATATTTGGGCATGCCTTTGAGGGAAAATTGTAAATCCAAATCCATTTGGCAGCCCATCTTGGAGAAGGTGGATAGAAAATTAGCATGGTGGAAGACCAAATACTTATCCAAAGGGGGCAAACTCACTTTAATTAAAAGTGTGTTGTCCTCCCTTCCTGTGTTCTATCTACTATCTCTATTCCCCATTAGTGGGCAGCAGCTTTGGAAAAAAAAGATGAGGGATTTTCTGTGGAGGGGATGGAAGGAGGAATCAAAATGTAACCTGGTAAACTGGAAGAAAATCTGCTGCTCTAAAGAAAGTGGGGGTCTAGGGATCAGACTAGGGAAAGATGTAAACACTGCATTGCTTGGAAAATTGTTATGGAGATTTAATGAGCAGTCAAATAGCCTGTGGAGAAGGTCTAGTAGCACGGAGTGGGAAACAGAAGAGGTCAGATCAGCCTATGGATGTTCAAAGTGGAAGGCAATTCAGAAAATACAGCCTCGACTTTTGAAGGGCATCAAATATAAAGTAGGAAATGGCCGGAGGGTTCTCTTTTGGAAGGATTATTGGTGTGAAGAGGGTCCTTTGATGTTCATATTTCCTGATCTGTTTGAAATAACTATAAATAAGAATGCAACTGTAGCTGATTATTTGGAAAGACAGTGGATATTGCTTGTGGAACCCCCAATTCAGGAGGAACTTAAGCAATTGGGAGATGACTTCTCTGATCAGCTAGCTCCAGATTCTGTATGACTCAAGGACGACTGGTATAGGGGAAGACAAAAGAATTTGGTTGTTTGAGAAATTAGGTAAATTCTGTAAGATCATTTTTCAAATCTGCAGTGAGGGAGGTTACCACTTCCTCTCCAAGTGACAAGACATGGATTAAAGCTGTACCACCTAAACTGGCTTTCTTTGTATGGTCAGCAGTGCTGGATAAGATCCTAACAAAACAGAATCTAGTCAGAAGTGGCTTAGAGGTGGCAGATTTGGCTTGTCCTTTATGTAATGGAAATGTGGAATCGTCTAGCCATTTGCTGATTCACTGTGAATATACTCATTGGATCTGGATAAGACTGGTAGGTCTGTTTGGTGTAACGCTGTATTTCCCAGCGGATGTGAAGGGATTCATAGAGACATGGTGTCTAGAAGGTTTAAATAAGGCCAGAAAGGGAGCATGGAGCATACTCCCCTCAGCAGTATTCTGGGCTGTGAGGTGTGAAGGAAACAGGAGATTGCCTTTTTGAAGGGAATCAGACTCCAAAGGAAGCAATCTTAAGTAAAATACTGGGGATGATTCATTCATGGTTGACAGTTCACCTTTTATTTAGAAATAGGCATTCTACTTCTTTCTTTGATTTTGATTTCCTTTTTTTTGATAAATTACAAAAAAAAACAAGGGACATTTTGGTGGCAGATATTTCCCCAGAAAACTTGGCAAGATTTTTTTTTATTTTTCTTTTGAATTGAACAGTCAATTAGCAAGAATTTTTTAAGCCACACATTCAACTTCATAATTAACCATGAAATACTCTTATCAATTAAAGCCTTATGATAGAATGTAGCAGATATTTCTCCAAAGGCCAATAACCACTCACAATAAAACAAAATTACAGCCACTCATTCTTCTCTAAAATGGAGAACAACAAATTCTTCAACAGGAATTACAAAGGGTTTTATTATTTGAAAGCTTATAAGCATGCATTTTGAAAACAAGGCTTCTGATTCCTGAATTTTTCTTTCCTCTAAAAAAATAGGAAATGAATGGAAGAATGTTTTGAGGAACGTCCAAAGTTATTTAAGATGCAACGGGAGTTTTTCAGAGAGTTCAAAGGAAAAAGGAAAGAAAGAAAAAGAATATTCAGATTTAGTCTCTGATGTGGCATATAAAGGGAAAAGGAAATCATCATCATCATCTAAGCCTTGTCCCAACTGTATGGGGTTGGCTCCACAAATCCTATTTTTCCATTCCATTCTGTTTAGTACCATATCCATTGCTAAATTATGAGTGCTTAGATAATTCTTATTACTTCGACCCATGTCATTTTTGGTCTGCCCCTAGCCCTTCTAGCCCCTTTAGGTCTTCAACCTGCACCAGATTGCTTCTCCTTACAGGTGATGTAGATGGTCTACCATGTACATGACTAGACTATCTAAGTCTACTTTCTCTCATTTTATCACCTATTGGAGCTACCCGTAGGTTCCTTTGAATGTCTTCATTTCTTTTTTTTTTTTCTTTTTGATCAATAATTGAATTGGATTCATTAATTTCAATAAAATAAGAAAGAGGTACAAAGATGTGTTTTGAATAACTTCATTTCTGACAACCTTTATAACTTTTCCACTTATCCATCTCAATATGCACATTTCTGTGACACTCAGCTTCATATAACATTGCTGATCTTACAACTGTTTCATATATAATTTTCCTTTTAGCCTAAGTGCTATCACCTATCACATAAGACTCAATAAAGAGAAAAGGAATTGAGCTAATCTAGCAATCTATAAAGAGAAAAGGAATAAAAACCAATTGAGCTATCAGGATGCAACTTTTTCTTTTTTAAAGAAATTTCATTTTTCCTTCAAAAAAAGGAATAAAAACCAAACAGTTAAGCTTTTTCAGGAGTAGGCATCCTTGGAAGAACCAAGACCATTAGGAGTTAGGACAATTTCCAAATCTTGTAGTCTCAGACCCTTCCACCAGAAAAAAAAGGTAGGTTTTTTTTTTGCAAAGGAATAAAGGGAATTCATTGTTTTTTAAATCCAAGAAGAAAATTCCATGAATTCCTTGGGTTTTGGAATTCAATTTTTCATCAAAGATTTTATATATATAAGCATACAAAACACAATTTCTGGTCTTCCTTGTATTTGATCTCAATAATAGAAGAAACTAAATGATTCATGCTTGGCTTTTGAATAAAAGAAACTAAATGTTTTTGTGGGTGTATAAGAACAATACAAATAATTAACAAATTCAAAATAATTCAACAATTAGCAGATTTTTTACAATACTTCAGAATGATACTAGCAATTCCTAGTAATCAAAAAGGGGGAGAGTTAATGAGGCAATAGTTAACATTTTTTCCATCAAAAGCAGGGAAGATTTTACAGCCACTGGAGGTTCTCAGGTAGCATCCAAGATAGGAGGTAAAAATTGAATTCATATATCCAAATGCATAAGGTCCATTAAAAGTAGTTAATTGACCTTCCATCCTGGGATTTCTATATCTTCAATCACAGGATATATTTTCTACATATGCACCTTTCATCATTTTATTAGAAGAGAAGGGAAGAAGCCATATTCTGCAACCCTTTTCTTTTCCTTTTACCCATCTTCCCTAACTAATAGGCCCTAACTTAGAGATAAATGGGTCAGGTCTGACCAAATCATATAATCCTGACTGACTGATAAAATGAATTTTTGTTTTGATGGATAACTGAAAAAAGAGGAAGACCAAAGTGTATGGCCCAGAGAAAATCCATGCTCAGATGGTTCAGAACTATCCTATATATTTGGTTTACACCAAGCAGATGTAAACGGTAATGCTCAACCAATATTGGTTAAAATGCTTCCAAATATGAGGAGCAGATGATTGGAAGACACAGACACAAGAACATCTTCACATCACTCACTCAAAAATAGAAAGCATTCATTATATCTGAATCACATCCATGAGATAAGATGAGTTAAATGGGTTTTACCTCCTTCTTCTTGCATTCCTTATAAATATCAAATTGCTCTTGACATTTGCCCTTGTCTGAGTTAAATTCCTCCAGGCCTGCAAAGTTTTCTTCATGACTTAATATTTCCAAAAAGGAGAACTAAGGGTGAAGTATCAGGAATATTTAAAAATAAGAAACTATTCATTTGGTGTTTGCATTACCAAAAAGGAAATTCCCCTGAATCACTTTCATTTTGAGTCCTTGAAGGAGGCATCTTTAGGGATGAGGAAGGTCATATAGTGCTTTATTTTCAGGTCTGATTGGAGTAGGGGACTCTCTAAGAGCTGAGTTCATGGCTATCATGGAAGGTGTACAAAGGGCAAGGAAGATGAACTTCAACAAGCTAATCATTAAAGAAGATTCAAAAGTGGTGGAGTGGATGCAGAATGGGGAGGTATCTCTTTGGCAGTACATAAATGAATTAAAAAATTTATATGACTGACCAGAGAGATGGAAGTGAGATTTCAGTGGGTACAAAGGTTAGCAAATAGCATGGCCAATGTTTTAGTCAAACAAGGGGTGAAGAGAGATCAAACTTTCTGAGCACAATTGTAAGAAAGATTGAAAGGGGACATAAAAGATTTACCTCCCTAATGGGTGTATAACTTGTATAAATACTCGTACATTAAATTCCTATTAATAAAATGGTTGGTTATTGGTAAAAAGAAAATAAAGATCCCTTTCCTTACCATCATTGGTTTGGATGGTGAAAACCCTTCTCTCTTTTGCTAGCCCCCCCCCCCCCTTTTGGCATGAGCTAGCCCTTTTTAAAACCAAGCCAGCTTAAAAATATTAGTTTGTTTGATTCTTAAATACTTCTTACTTGTTTTAAGACTAAAACGATAAGCTTGACAATCAAGTTTAGCAACTTGAGGCATGAAAGAAAAATATTTTCTCTATATCATGCTAATAGCAAATAACTCAAGTCTCTAGCATAAATGTTGGGATTGTGTCATATTTTTCAACCATTAGATGAGATTGTAATCTAATGGTTGGTGTGGTCACTCCTTTAGGTTAAGGTAGGTTTTACATATAAAGGGTTTCTTTTATACGTATGGTTTAGAAGTTTGGCTTTTTTCTTGTTGGAGAAGAAAAAAATAGAGGTTGGAGAGGTGCTCTTGATGTAAGAGTAGATTCTTTTTTCTTCTAGTGTTCTTCCAGTTGAGAGAGGAAAAGGAGAAAGGTTGTGCAAAGGTTAAGGGTTGCAAACCACGATGTAGTATGTACTGTTTTTCATTTTATTTCATAGTGAAAAATGGTGTTCTTAGTGGTGTTTGTTTCTTGTCTTTGCCTAAATTTCAGTTGTTTTTGTTGCTATTGAATTCTCTTGGTTTCTATTTCATTCAAATGCTTTGTGGATTTATCGTGTGGGTGAGACCAACAATAAATTCTATTCCATCTTACCTCAAATGTGTTCTTTAGGTTTCACTTGAGGCTTTATGCTCAACAAGTAAGTATGAGAACAATGTGAACTAGGCCATGATCCATTTAGCAATCCACAAAGTCTCCTGTATGTATTAAAAGTTCTAAAAGAACTAGCATTATGCAAGATTTCATTCTTGCACTTTAGTACTTGATTACATAGGTGTCTCATCCTAGATAACTAATGTAGTTTTTTGCAACATTATATCTGCTTAAACCTTACTAAAAACAACCGACCTGACCTTATTGTGCCTCGAAAAAGTTGGAAATCAATGTAAACTTGTAAGGTCTCCTATCATTGTTTGTACCCTCCAAACTGAAGATGATTCTAGTTTCTAATTTTCTAAAAACAACCGTCCTGTAATTCCAGCATCATTTTCCCTCCATGGACCCTAATATAAATTCCATACCGATTCTTCAATCTGAGAATGAAAAGAAATATACTCCATAACCTTATTTATAACTAAAAACCTGGTTTTTTGAAGAAGATCAATCCAATTAGCTCAGCTGTCCTAGTCTCCTAGATCAACTATCCAACTTCAGTTATAAGAGTTCTAACGAAGAACCCTCGCACTGAAAGAGGATTTCAAGTTGTTGATTACATTCATGCAAGGCAACCGCAAAATTTTGGTATCTGAAAGAAGAAACCGCATCTAGCCATGGAAGCTGATGAATCATAGTACTCCCCCAACCTGGGGCATAAGTTCCCAAGTGTTTGAAAATTATATATTTCTTAATTGGTCATAACTGAAATGAAATATATATTGGATTGTAGCCCATTTCAGTGAACCTTCTGGTCCAAGTGGTTAGAGTAATCTGCCTTTTTGATTCTGATATGTGCCTTAGGAGAACTCACCCCTAAAAGCTAGCTGTTAGAGGGAGGGAACCCAAGCACATATATGCCCCACAACAGCATCCCATTCTATCGATGTGGGATACCTCACATTAGTATCCCATACTACCAACATGGGACAAATGGATCGTAACAGATTCTCTAGCAATTCCTCAAGTTCACAAACCAAAAAGCCACTCTAGATGGCGCCAGAGGTAATCCGACGGGAGCGGCAAGGGCCGGAAGATGATGTCTGGTCGTTGGGTTGCACGGTAATTGAGATGATCACTGGCAAGCCAGCATGGCAAGATTGCGGTGGTGCCACTGCAACGATGTGTCGATCGGTTTTTCCAATGAACTGCCAGATTTTCCAGCTCAATTGTCGGCATTGGGTCATGATTTCCTCGATAAGTGCCTGAGAAGGGAGCCGAATGAGAGGTGGACTTGCGGGCAGCTTCTACAACATCCTTTCGTATCGATGGGTGCTATTACGGAACCATCTCCAAGGTGCGTACTAGATTGGCCTAATTCGGAATTCTACGACAACGAAGAGGAGGAAGAAGAAATTCAAGTCCATAATGGTTCAATTTTGTTGTTTGCCTCCTTGGAATATTTGAATTCTTTTGTTTGTCTCCCTAGTGTTGAGTGGTTGAATTGTGTAATAAACTGTAGTAGTAGTGGTGGTGGCAGTGGAGGTTGATGAGGGTGGATTTGGCCCTCCAATGATATTGTGACACATGGCACCTCGAAACAAATAGGTGACACCCGGAACCACTTTGGCAACAACTTGCCTTAGCCAAATTGATGGTGTCCCACCTGGCGGCCTGGCACAGGCGCGACCTGACGGCCTGACACAGGCACCAACCTAACAGCCTGGCCCAGGCGCGACTTGGCGACCTAGCACATGTGCCGACCTAGCAACTTGCAAGACGTGCTTGCCAATGAATTCGGCATGCATATCCAAACATTCCCACGATCCTTGGAAGTTGGACCACGTGCCGAACGACCCGGAGGGTGGTCAACGTGCAAGGCAGTTACCTCCAGGAATCTCGACCACTTAGACGACCTTACAGAAATCTCGAATATGGTGCGTGAAGCCCATGCCAAACAATGCCCATATAAAGGCACCAACCCCAATGGCATGGGGGCGAGTAAAAAAGTAAGCAAGTAGGCAAATTCTAGCTCTCATACTTTGTGATTTTTAGCTCGCCATCTACTATGAGAGTACTGACTTGAGCTTCGAAACGACCTCACTAGGTTAGCCACCCCGGGTCCTCTGACATTTGGTTCCTTGCAGGTCTCTAAAGAGCAACGAAGCTCATCAATCCAGCTCGCCACCTGGTCAGCCCGGCACCTCACAGGCAGCTCGCCACCTGGTCAGCTCGCACCTAGTCAGCCCAGCACCTCACAGGCAACTCGACACCTAGCCTGTCTAGCTCGACTCAGCCCGGCAGCCAAAGTTCTCCACTTCGGCCTGAGTCATCAGCCACTTGGCAGCAGACCAAATGACGAGGTACTTAGCACAAAAAATTGGCCATCACCAAAAATCGATTCATCAGAGGTGATAACAGAGCTGGTTCAGGCTGTCAGCATGAGCGCAAGATGGGATTTTACGATTGGTGTAAATTGTTATTGTTAATTCATTTAATGAAAACTCTTCGGCAACGTTGCTGGAGGCGGAGGCGGAGGTGGGCGGAGATAGGTGGAGACGTTAACGGAGGCAGCAGTGGACGGCGGTAAATGGCGGCGGGCGGCAACGGACGGTGAATGGATTGCAAGAGGAAAAACATGAACAGTGTTTTTGCCATTAATTGATATTATTTTTTAAAAGTTAATTTATTTTTGAAATTTTTTTAAAAATATTACTTTTATTGATATTAAGGCCCTAAGGTTGCCTTTATCTGTTATAACCCCATCTTTCTTCTCACACCTCTGTTTGCGAGCCTTAGATCTAGGGTTAAGGTCCTTTATCGAAGTGATCTTGGATCCCAAAAAAAAGGTGGAACAGTTAGTACTTGCTATAGGGGCACTATTTCCAAGGGAGAAGAAGGAACAATATTCAAAGTAGCGAAAAAAGATCTGAATGGCCCAAGGGATTGAAAGAAACATGTGGTAATTACTAATTAGAGTTCTAGAAGATCGATCGGCCGATTAGAATTGTTGGACTGAAAGAGTATCTAGTGAAAGCTTGGGGTCTGCAAAATGAGAAGGCAATAAAAGTGTTTGGCATAGACTCTTGGCTAGTGCAATTCAATTCAAAACAAGATAGAGATACAGACATACAGTCTCTAGGAAGCGGTCGTGGTATTTCAATGATGATTTTATCATTGTGGAGCTTTATGAAGCAAACAAAGGAAATCGAAAATTGGTCTCAATTTGCAAGGATAAAGATATCAATGGACATATATAGACCACTTCTTAAGACGTAGCGGTACAAGTTTTTAAACAATAAGGTGATAGAGTAAGTTTTAAATATGAAAGAATCACAAAGTTTTGTCATTTTTTGTGGTTTATACATTCCTAATAGAGAATTATTTTGAATCAAAGACCAATGAGAAAGGTCAAAAAGAAACTAATTTTGCTGAGACGTGAGAACCCAGTTGGAAGTAGATACCAAAGATTAAAAAAAAAAAAAAAAAAAACCTAACTGAGTTGTCAAATGTGTGTCAAAATTATAAGAATTTTCCTCGCTAAGAAGTCGCCGAGACTACTGCTGAGATGCATATTAGTCAGAAAGGATTAAACAAAAACAACAAAATAAGAAGAAATAAACAAATATGGAAGAGGATATTTGAATTTACATTTAAGAGACGCTGTATATTGAGGATAGCAGAGGGAATCGGAGAGTCTGGAGGCGCTGGGATAAGATGGTGAAGCTTCTCTCGACGCCATGGTCTCCTCTGTTCTATCTTCCTCCGCGGTGAATTCTGAGCTTCTGCCCTTTGCCGCAAAACGTACTGTTTGTGACATTTTGTTAGGTGAACAACAGCGACACGCGTCTATTTCGATACGTGAAGTGTACGACCGTGTGGGCTAGGGAGGATTTTTTTTCGTAAATTGAAATATCAGCTTCTGCTGTTTTCCGCGCGTAAACTGCACGCGTTAGTTCCTTGTTGCAACTTGCAACAGTTCAATATCCCAATTCCCAACCATCGCTCTCCAATCTCCATGCCAACGCCATCGGCCCATCGCTATTTGGTTCGAGTTCTATGACGTAAATCCGGCTCATCTGGCCTGGCCGGGTGTTTGTCTATCTAAAAAGACTCCGGATCTCCTACCTAGGGGTGTCCGAACCGTGGTAAACCAAACCGGTAACACCGTTTTTCCATCTCCCCAAACCGAAACCGAACTGGTATCATAGGTTAACTGGTCCGTCGGTTTTGGTTTTTGATTTTTATATTTATAATATATTTTATATAAATATATGTATAACATTATGTTATAATAATAATATATAATATATTATAAAATTATATAATATATTTATAAATAGACTATATATTATATTTATATAATATATATATATAAACATATATACCAATCGGTTTGGTTAACTGAAAACTGAACCAATCCTTCAGTTTTTCAAAAATATCGAACCGATTGGTTCGGTTAACCACATTTTTCGGTTCAATTCGGTTTTTCAATTTTTCATGGACACCCCTACTCTTATCTACAACTTACTAGAACTCTACCCACACCTAACCTTTGTGTATTGAGAACATCTTCCCATCCATAATAATATGTAAGAGCATGAGATATTCCTCATGTGTGACTGCATTACTATTTGGGCAGATGTAGGTAGAATCATTGTGGGAAGACTTGTTCATGGGCTGGGCCGGGTTGTGCTCGGGCTGGGCTTTGACTCTTTATTAACAGAAAAATGTTAGGCTCGAGTCTGAGCCCGGCCCGACCAACGGGCCTACAACTTGGGCCCGAGCCTGGCCCTAATAAAAAGCCCGAAGCCCGACCTAATAAAAGAAATTTGAATTTTTCCCTATTCAAATAGACATTATCTATTTTAATTCAGATGCTTTTTTCCCCTATTTAAATGAACAATGGGCCTACAAGGGAATCAACAACCTTCTTAAATCAAAAAATTTATTCAAATGGACATCACATAGGGTTTTTACTTAGATTTAACTATAGATCGGGTCGGGCTGGGCTCGGGTCGGACTATTTTGGCAAAGCCCGAGCCTGGCTCGAATTTTATGCGGGCCAGGCGCCAAAAATCCTGTTCAAGCCCGTCCAAGGGTTGGGCCGGGCCGGGGTAGCCCGTCAGGGCACCCGGCCCATGAACAAGTCTAATTGTGAGTAAGAGATCCACACTTATCTAAAAAGAGAGTGTATTGGGTCTGGCTGGGTCCACTGCTACACTAGTGTATAGCCAATGGAGGTGTTATCTCTTGCAAATAGGGGTGCAAATGGATCGAATTCACGTGTATTCCTGGAATAGATTGGATAATATGATAATCAGATCAAATCGGAGTAAGCCCCTATATATTATTCATAAGTATGTTATATATTGTATTTTTTATAATTTTTATATTATTTATTTATTTATAAAAATGCATGCATATATATAATGAAAATAATTGAAGAAAATACTCATACTTTTTTGTTTATTCTTTATATAAAATTTATTATATTTTTTTAAATTTTCAAAAATTAATCGGATCGAATCATATTCAGATATCTGACATTATTAACAGATTTAAATTTAAATATGCATTTGTAAGATCCAATCAAATCTTTAGATCATATTAAAATCTTTAGATTAGATCGAATCAATTGTGCTATCGGATCGGATTTAGATACGTGATTCGAATCTGATCCGATCCGTTAGACCCAATTGATTGAACCCAAATATTTGGACTTTGGATTGGATAGAATCAGATTTGTGAATTACCAGATTGATCAGGACATTTCCTAAATATGGGCTTCGTCTTTGGCTGGGCCAAGTTTCATCCAAACCCAGCCTGATTCAACTTCAGAACCCAGACCCTAAAATCGGGCCTATCCATCATGAGACTTAACAAAAACAACAGGCGGATAAAATCAAATAACTTGACCCATTAGTTGTTGTGGAATTGATTTGTCATAAGGGTACATGTAAAAACCTTCCCCAGGATTTTCTTACAATCATATAAGCCTCCCTTACATTTTGACCCTAATAAGATCCTCCCCTGTACGAGGCTGTAGTTTAAAAAAAAAAATTACAGCTACTTCTCTATCGATAATAAAGACATCAAAGTTACCGAAATTCTCCTATCGTTCTTTTCACTTCATTTTTTTCTTCCTCTCTACCCCTATTCACACACCCAACGAGCAGAGAATGAACGAAAAATGGAATTCACCGCTCATCCTTCTTGCTTTTTCTTTTTTTATTCTTTTAACATCAAAGGATTACAACTAACCAGTTGCAGGTCAACTCAAAGGATCACAAGCAATCGCATCTTCCCATTCAATGTCCGACTAGCGGGGATCCATGCGAAGAAAAAATCTGAAAATTTTAATAATTTTATTTATTATTAATTAATGTTAAATTAATAATCAAAATTTATTGTTAATTAATTAAAAGTATTAAAGTTATTGTTAATATCTAAAGTTTTAATAATTTTATTTTTATTTAATGTTAATTTACAGAAAATTATTTTTGTTAATTTAATATAAATAAATATTTTTTAATAAATTTAGTTTTATTAATAATTTATAGTAATTTTAATAATTGTTATTATTTTTAAATCAAAATTTGATTAACTTTAAATAAATAAACATAATTACTAAATCTAACATTTTTATTAATTTCACTAATAATTAACAATTATATAAGAATGACAATGGGGTGGGTTCAAGGCAAGGCATCCCATCCCTGTCCCTGCTCCATAGTCAAGGCATTCTACCCCATCCCCACCTTGTCCCTAGTGTCAGGCAGGTCCAAGGCAAAGCAACCACTCCTCATTTCCTTAATGTTGGGCGAGTTCAGGGGCAAGGCACCCCACACCTCATTAAGGATGGGGAATTCTCGAATTTCCCTGCCCTGTGCCCAGTATTGGGTAGGATCAAATAGAGGTGTAAATCGGGTCATGCTAGGTCAATCCTTGGGCCAGGCCAGACTGCGGATCAGGCCAAGCTATGAGAGGTCCATTTCTTTTTAATGAAAAAGATGTTTAAATTTTTATTTCATATGATTTTTTATGTATACAATTGTTTATATATACAATTAGTCATATTCATGGACCAAGTAGCCCAATGGCCTAGCTCGACCTGACCCATTATTTTTCAGAATTGGACAAAATTTCAAACTCGTGGGCTCGAGCTCATGCTTTCTCAAATAAGCCCACCCTGATACTATTACATATATAAAAAAGTACTTATGTTATATATAACAATTAATATATATATATATATATTATTAGCTTCTTAAATTATATATAAATATATATGTGTGTGTATGTGTGTGCTTCTTAAATTATTAATAAATATCAATTTATTATTAGGAAATATAAATTAGTTTATTAATTTATTAAATTAATATAATATTAGTTTATAAAAGTATACTAAAAATAAGATATTTTGTGTATAGATCGGGCTTCGGGATTGGGTTCGGGCTCAAGATCTAGGCTCAATGGTCAGGTCGGGCTCGGGCTCAAGCTTGCACATTTTCTGTTGATAAAGAAGCCCGTGTTAATTATAAACTATGATTTTTTACAAATTAAAATTTTTATGTAATTCTAATCTAGTATAAAATATATATATATATATATAACAGTTCTATATATATTAATATAAAATTTGTTATTTAAATATTATATAATAATATTTTACCATATATGCATATAACTTCAAAGTTGAGCTTATTACAGGTTGTTTAGCTTGGGCCCTATCCGCAAAAGCCATCATTGGACTCCAAAAGTTTGGTACCCAATTAAACTTTGGATCTGATTATCCTTGATAATGTGTGAGCATGGTGCTTAACTCGGCTAGGCCTAACTCAAGAGAAAATAGTTGCTTGACCATGCAAATTTATAGATCATTAAATTAGGTGAAGTTATATATGGTTTGTTACTTTTTATCATTAATTATTAAAATATTGTTAGCTATTAAACTATTATAATTATTAAATTACTATATTTATTTAAAATATAGTAATTTCTAGAAATTATCATAATTTCAGAAATATTGCTAATTCCTTGGCTAAAACTAATTAAATGTAATTTTATGGTAATTAAATAAAAATTGGTAATTAAATGTAAATTTCTATTATTTATAGCTTAAATAAATAATTACTGTTAATTACAATTTAAAAATAATTATTGTTAATTATATTACTATTAATATTTAAATTACATTATTTTTTCATTATTATTTAGTATTTTTTTCAATAAAATACAATTAATTTAATTTATTAATTATTTTTTAGTATTTTAATTAACCTTTAGGTTTTTAGAATTTTTGGATTTTTAATTAATTTTTGGTGTTTTTCCATTATTATTCAGTGATTTTTTATATGAGTACTTTTTCAATAATTTCTAGTATTTTCATAATTTATTTTGGCATATTAGCCACTACAAAATTAATTTGCATTTGCTTTTAGTAAAAATAAATTAAATAACTAAACAAATACCATAGTTAATAAAAAACACAGCTAATTTTCAATGTTTTTCAATAATTTCTGGCTTGGGTATTTTTTAATAATAAAATATTATTAATTGTATTTTTTATTGATTTTTAGTAAATACCCTTATTAATATCAAATATTGTTAATTTTAGTATTTTAATTATGTTTAGGTTTTTAGAATTTTTTGGATTTTTAATTAATTGTTGGTATTTTAAGACTATCAATTAATATTTTTTATTAGTCTTTATTAAGGTCTCAACTCATAAGTTATCTAATAATATTATTAAAACTATCATTTAATATTTTATATTAAAATTTCTTATTTTTATTAGTATTTATTAAGTTGGATTTTTAAGTGG